GCAGGAATGTGCTACAGGATCATGCCCAAGCATAGCTATAACATCTGGTTTTTCTCCCTCTGATTTGGAAGGCGATCAGCTTCATGTAGGTCATTTAAAATCCAGGTTTGGGTGATAGTTTTTGCCTTGGGGAGAATGACTGGGGTTTTGTGTGACAGAATTCTTAACCATGCTTGAATTTTCCATGCCGTGTTATTGAGAGAGCTTGTGCTGTATGAGCTCAGTTGTCTGTGCCTGCCATTCATCAGTGTTAACGGATTGCAAAAGCTGCCACTTCAATGCTGCTCTTTGGGTACCCGGTCTTATCTGTGCAAATGTTGTGGTGGAGTTGTGGAAACAAGGTCTTTGAGGTCTCATGGGGTCTTGCAGCAGCCAGAACGTGCAGAAAGCAGGAAAGGGAAGAAAGGTGATTATTAGAGCGTGCGGGTGAGATGTGGACGTGAGGAATGTAAGTGTGCTCTGGTGCCAAAATACTGAGTTGCAATACTGACTACTTATCGCTTCAAAGCACAGTCTGAGTGTTTAATCCTTGTAGCTTCTCCGCGAGGTAGGTAAGTCAAGCTGGGAGGATGTGAGAATTCACAGAACTGATGTTTTAGAGCTATGCAAGCAGAATTATTCTTTTTAAAAGATGTGTTAGCACAGTGAACTGCTGGAGTAACGTAAAGCAGCATAAGTGTGTCTAGTACTCTGCATATGTCTTGTAGCGTATTTACAATTGCATTTATTTTCCTTTTTCCAATTTAGTATCAGCAATCTGATAAATGTTTTTAAGCTTTCCTGTTCTTTTTTTTTTCTCCCTCCTTTAAGTCTTTTTCTTCCAATCCCTTATTCTCTGTATTGCAAAAAAAATCCTCAAATAAAAATCCAAACCAGCAGAGGAAAATAATGGGAGTTGTGTATAACATGAAACTAGTTTTATTTCAAGCTTTTCAAACAGCTGTTTATAGCAAAGAATGGAAATACTCTTTGAGAAAGTGGAGAAGTGGTGCAGCCTTTCAAGATCTCTACCAAGTTTGTTGATTTTCATCTTTGAATATATTTTAATGCTGTTCAGTGCTTCTTTAGGACACTGTGTTTTTGTCCTTGGCTTTCAGACTCCTTTTCCTTACTAATGGCTCTGTAATGACTTTGGGTTGGAACATTTTTGTAGGAAGAGCCATATTGGAAAAGATTGGTCTTGCATTTAGTTTTGAACCTCATGGATCCTAGAGTACTTTTACACTTCCATTTTAACAGTTGACTGACTTTGTTTTATATGTGAATGTGGAGTTTAATTAGTGCTATGATCAATGGAAATTTCTTTCTTTTTTCCCTCCCTGGTCCAAAAAATAGCTTTGTTAAAATTTGTGTGCCCATGTTGTACTTCATGCTGTAGTTTCCTAGTTAGTAGCTGTAACTTTCCCTGTGACATTCTTCTGTCATAGTGTTTAGTAGAGAGTGGAGACATTTTAATCATCAGTTCAGGATTCAGATTTCCAACAAAAGAATGAACTCAGAAGTGGTCTGTGTGTGTGTGTCTGTCTCCAAATGAATAGAAGCATTCAAGGAATAAGCAGAATCAATGACACCAATGAAAGGAACAGTGAATTCTTCATTGACATACTGAACTATTTAAAGTTATTTCATCAGGTTTGCATTTAGAAATGAATGGCTTTTTTATTTCCTAAGAAAGAGTATTGACTACAACAGTGAATAATGCACTCAATTACAGTCGTTACTATAAATGCTGAAATGAGATATTACTGTAGGCTTGACAAATATGGCATGTAGCAAAATGAGAAGGTTTGTGGTGTGGCTTATGACCAGTGAATAGCAAAAAGTTTTCAAAGCTCAGCTATGTTCATTGAACTACATTTAGTTCTCGTGATTCTCTTGCTAAATCATTAACCTTTTGGAGGCAAAAAATCATTTGCATGCTAGAAGCACAGTAGAACTTGATGTGAATATATGGTAGGATATCCTAAAGCAGACTACCTGGAGATGGCCCAGTAAAATGCTTTCTTGTACATATTTGGGGTTATTCCAGTTGTTTGATTTATATTTGGCCAAAAAACAAGTGTGTGCTGTATTTTAGAAATTCTTGGCTTTACATCAGAGTCTGTTGTAATTTTCTCATGGTAGTGTATATTGTTGCACTCTTGGCTGAAGGCTAGGCAGCTCCATTTAAAAATAATGCAATAACGCTAATCATATTGCTAAGTAAAGTTGACAATTACTGAATATTAACAGATTTATAAATATCAAGACCTTCTAGATAGAAGAGTGCATCTGAATAAGTAAACGCTATGCTAGCAAGATCAGCTGCTGTGTGTTGTAATTGAGACTGAGAAAATGACTCTAATTGTTTGTTTCTCTTGCAACTTTTAATGTGCTTCACCAACCTCTGACAATCTTTGACTGTTTTGGAGTACACAGGAGGAATAGTGACTTCTAACTCCTAACTTTGGAAGAACACTGTATACCTTTCAACTTTTACAGTAAAAGTTTAAATGCAGTAAAATTCCTGTTAGCTTACCACTTTTTGTATGTGGCTAAAGCATGACTCATCATGTGTGTGCGATGTTGTTTCCTCCCCTGTGAATTTCATAAATACATAGTATGTAATGCTTTCTTGCTGGTATTTAATTTTTTAATGTAGGAACATTCATTTAAATTTTCCCAGTGCTAAGTAAATTTTAGTATGTTTTGAAAATGGTATTGATTTTTTACTTTTAAGTATCTCTTAAAAAAATACCAATTAGCAACTGTCATTTATTGTAGGTGCTACAAAACATACTAGAAACAGAAAATGAATATGCTAAGGAGCTGCAAACAATACTTTCAAACTACCTGCGACCATTACAAGCCAGTGAAAAGTATGTGAGTTTGTTTTGGTGTTTTAAAATTAAGCTTGAGGTTTCTTGTGTATTGGGGAGGGTTTATGTGGTCCAAACTTCAATTTCAATGTTAATGTATATTTTATGTGGACTGGGAGAACCTTGAGGCAGGGCTTGCTTTTATTCAGTTTGTTTGCTGACTAAGACAGTCTGGCCCTTCATCTAAGAACTAGTAAGCATTTTCTTTTAAGGTTGTAGGCTTTATTAAAGCACAATTAGTCAATAACTGCAAACCTAAACACCTTTTATTTACCTTGGCTCCAGGTTAAACTCAGCAAATACTTCATACTTAATGGGGAACCTGGAAGAAATAAGTTCTTTCCAGCAAATGCTTGTACAGTCTCTAGAAGAATGCACCAAGTAAGTACTATGCATACCAGATACTGTAAAATTCTAACAAGCAAATATTTTTTTATTATTTTACTTGACATGTATGTTGTTTGAGATAAAATTTTGTTCCTCTCACTTTAAGGATAGCTGCTACAGCAGTACAATAGTAGACGTTTGAATAATGCATTGATTACTTGTGCAGATAGATACTGGCCCTAGGATGCAATTGCAGAGGTAGGAATTTTGATGTAGTTTGGAAACAATTTTATGAGTTTCCATGATGCAATTGCATAGCAGTGGAGAAGTGTATTTTGTTTTGGAGGCATGAATTTTAAGTCTTTTCTCAAAGTAACAGAGAGAATGAAGGGAGCTCATATTGTGATGGAATAGTGGAGGAGTGGGTAGGTTGGGTGAAGGATGCTGTATGAGAATGCTGGTGCTTAGTATTCTTCTGACCTGGACAATGGTGGTCGTCAAAAATCATAGAATCATAGAATGGTTTCAGTTGGAAGGGACCTGAACTATCATCTAGTTCCAACCCGCTGCTACAGGCAGGGACACCCTCCACTAGATCACATTGCCCAAAGCCCCATCCAACCTGGCCTTGAACACTGCCAGGGATGGGGCCTCCACAGCTTTTCTGGGCAACCTGTGCCAGTGCCTCACCACCCTCACAGTACAGAATTTCTTTCTAACATCTAATCTAAATCGACCCTCCTTCAGCTTAAACCCATTACCCCTTGTCCTGTCACTACACTCCCTGATAAACAGTCCCTCTCCAGCTTTCCTGTAGGCCCCTTCAGAAACTGGTAAGCTGCAATTAGATCTCCCTGGAGCCTTCTCTTCTCCAGGCTTGAACAATCCCAACTCTCTCAGCCTGTCCTCATAGGAGTGGTGCTCCAGCCCTCTGATCAGCTTCGTGGCCCTCCTCTGGACTCTCTCCAACAGCTCCATGTCCCTCCTCTACTGGGGCCCCCAGAGCTGGACGCAGTACTCCGGGTGGGGTCTCACCAGAGCGGAGTAGAGGGGCAGGATCACCTCCCTCGACCTGCTGGTCACACCTCTTTTGATGCAGCCCAGGACACGGTTGGCTTTCTGGGCTGCAAGCGCACACTGCTGGCTCATGTTGAGCTTCTCATTAATCGACGCCCCCAAGTCCTTCTCCTCGAGGCTGAAATGTGCTGGGAGAGGCGTGCAGGATAGGCAGAAAGAGCAGTCTGAAGAAAAAACTCACCCTCTATGCCTGTACTGTACTGTATAGGAAGCATGAAGCACAGAAAAAAGGGAATGAAGATACCTTTCCTCCTTCCGTAGGTGTGAAGTGATAGCTGGATATTTTTCAGCTTGTACCTCAGCACTTGGCGGGTGTTAGAAAGAAGGTGACCATATCACATTTGCATTGTCCTAACAATTTTCTAGTGTTGAAACTCCACTGAAAGTGGAGTTCCTGTTCCTAACCTTGGTTGTGTCCTTTTCCTTGCCTGTGTTCTGGTTTTGTCTCACCACATGGTGAGCTAAGGCAACTTGCTAATCCAAATTTGCTTGTTTTCTGCCAAGTCAGTCATTTGAATTGCTACTGAGGGCTTAGACAAGTTTCAGTCTGCTGGGAGTACTTAGCTGTGAGAAGGAATGAATGTCTTGGATGAAGGAGAAAATACCTCTTTTGGCAGCAGTGATCCTTAGATCAGCTCGGTGTGTCTTGTTTTGACCTCTCCCTCCTCTTTTCCTCTGAGCTGCTCCACATGAAGAGGAAGCTTTGTCATGACAAAGTATAAGCTGCGTCCCCACTAGGCAGTAATGTGTGTCTGGGTGTGTTGCTGACTTTGGATCCCATGTCCTACCACCTGGCTTTTCTCCTTCTCTTCTGCCTCTGGACAACTTAGGCTGCAGAGAATGGAAAGGAGGACCGTGTAGTTCAGATGACTGTTGAGCAGTGGAATGGAAACATTCTTGAAATGGCCTTTCTTCCATACTGTGTTTGAGAAAGAAGAATATTCTTTCTGACAAGTTAGACTTGATTAGTTAAGTGTCCAAATCCCCGAGAATGACAGTTTGTCCACATACTTAAATGTTTCCTTTCTTTTCTTGTCACTGTGCTTTGTTGTATCATTATTTTGTTACCATGATTTTGTTTCTGTGAATCAGAAGTTAGGGAAATTATGTATCTTGCGTGAACAGACTGTCATCTTTTAAAACTTTTCTATAAGGTGGTCTTTAAAAAAAAAAAAAAAGAGTAGAAGAGCATATGCATTTAAACAAATATTAATGCAAGCTTTGTTTTAACTTGGTATGTAGGTTAATGCAATATCATAATGTAGCTTCAAGCTCAGAAAGCTTATTTAGAACTCTTTCCTCAATGTAAACTCTATTAAAGCAACTTCTCATAATGTCTTTTTTTAATTCTTCCTGCTAAGTGAAATCTTGCTGTATAATAAATTAGCAATGTAATGGATGCTAGTAGGTGAGCAGAGGAAGTGATGCCCCAGGGTTACTGAAGGGTTACTGCAAATGTTTTGTATTATTTATTTCATAAATGTGCTGGTCGTGCCCAGTTGTATTTTCAATTTAATTTTCATCATAACATATTGACTTGAGTGTCCAGCTTCCTCTTGTTTTGAACCTAATCCATTATAATTTCCATCATATAGAAGAATGCTTGCCCTGCTGCCTTGTTTTTTGTCATTTTGCCATGGTTTTTTGGCTGGTGAACCTGTTCTGTAAACTCAGAGTAGCTCCTGGGCTGAAAATAGATTTATCATTTTATTTTATTTTTGGCAGAGACCTTATAGCTCCATCATTCAGGCACTTCATATTGCAGTATCCAGTGTGGTGGTGTTTTTCTGATGTTTGTCAGAATGACCAAATGCTGATGTCCTGCCAGTTGTAGTGCTGCCAGCCTACGTTGCTTGACAAATTCCTGTTCTGGGGTATGAGTGTTGAATGGTTTTTTTGAATTCCACACTCTTCTCAAATCAGTTTGTCATTTGAGTTTTCTTTTAACAAATCCTGGCGTGTACTTCAGTGACAGAAACTTTCTGGTGCTTTTCTTCTTGCCTGCACTGTTTTGGCTTATTTAATCCTCATGTTGTTAAACATTGGGTTGCATGGTTTTTTTCAGAACACATAATGCTGTAGTGGGCACTCTTGTATTTTGGGGGAAGTAGGTTTTTGGGTGTGGTTTGGTTTTAGTTGTGTGCTACCCTGCCCCCAGCCTCGAAGCTCTTCTGGTGTATTGGTAAAGGTTTGTCCTCTTTGAAGTATTGCTCTTTGGGTGTTTTTGTAGCAG